GGTTTTGAAGACGAAAAGAACTGAGTCGATTTAATGCAACCTATATATAACCTCAGCACTATTGCCTGCATATTTCGGTTTACGCAGAGAAACTGAAGTAGGCTGAGGCTTAGGCAGTGATGCGGTATAAACCGCAGATTACCACCAGATTTAAAAAATAAATAATATATATTCCTTAAATTAATTCCGTTCTCTCCGCTTTCAAAACCACGTACGTTTTGCCATGCACTATTCAGATACTAACTGTAGATGCCTTCATGTATTCTGACGAAAGCCATTAAAGGGTAATGAGACGCCTGCCACTGTTCAGTTTTGTTGTTTTCCACCTGTCATACCTGGGGTTTTACCCCGGAACCGCATACAGATACCCTGTACCTTTAGTAATTTATTCTGTGACGTATGCGCTATTTAATCACAGCTTTCAACTGACTGCTATAATTGATTAGTACAAGGATGTGTTTGCTATAGGCGGCGGGTCTATGCATGCACATCACACCACAGGGTTGCTCGTTTGAGGGCAACAACTCATAGAGATGAATTTCTGATTGGTTCGAACCATCATGACTTCACACGTTAGACTATTGAATGGCAGTGAAAAGGGTTACCGTTCACTTAGACGATACGGCACTGAGGGATATGAAACGGAGGTGAATGCCTTGGCTATGTTTCTTCTTTGGATTTTCTAGGCCTTGTGCATCTCAGCGGTTGCGGGAGGTTATTTTCTCTTCATTTCATGTGTTGATCCCTCAGCTATGTTGCAGATCATCAGTTGGTTTTAGGGCGAAACGTCGTTATTCGTTCAGGAGTACGATGAACACATCTCATCATGGTTTCATCAGGGATTAATACAGTCAGTGATCCCCCTGATTCTTGGCCACCAGGGCTAACAGAGCGAAGGATAATCCATTATTCCTTATATTTTGAGTTGGAACATTCTTCGAGCAGAAGGTAGAAGATTGACGTAACGTGTTATTGACGATCTGAATATTTTTCTCCTCAATTAGCCACAGATTTTGATCCACATTTCATGCAACACACAAGTGACTGTCTTCGTCATCACTACACTACAAAACTACCCAGTCTTCCACAGAGCGACGTTCCTCTACTCTGACCCATCGTTCGACGCTACAGTAACAACGCCGAGGTGTTTTCCCATGGAATTCCACAGAACAGTCGTGAACGATTTCTCATCGCCCTGCGCCTCTACATCATTTGTCATCCGGCGGCACTGCGCAAGCACGTTAAGACGAAAGGACGTGTTCGCTTTTTGTCCCTCTGACCAAGGGTGGTCGTCATGCGTCGAAGCACCGCGAAAACGTCGTATTTCCTCATTTCCCTCACCTCAGTGAGACAGCTGCTGTGGTCTTGTCGATTCTTTCCTCGAACTTTTGTGCTCACCTTTCGAACACGGCACAACTGTCCCCCGTTGTGGGACAGAACGACAGGAGGCAGTACACGTGGAACCGCGAGAAGCAGATGGCTCAGCTGGTTAATGCGTAGGCGTTGTGCAAAGCAAGAAAGCACCGCCTGAATTCGATCTCGTGTAACGTCCTGTCGGTTGCCATCCTTAACACAAAGCACGGCGATTGTGGTATATCCGTGATGTGCAATGAAAAAATCAGAGTTCTGTGTCAACAACAGAGTATCGTCTGAAATTCACACCAATTCAGTAACAGTTTTCAAAATAAGAAGGTCTTTCGATGCGATGTTTATAGACACAAAAAAAGACATGGGTAAAAAGTTTAGTCTGAACCGATATTTTGGAAAATACCGCCATGAAACGGGTCAAGAACCATAAGCAGTGGTCTTGAACATCTTTAAACAACAACACCTGTAGGTGGAAAATGTGATTTTCGCTTCTGGCTGATCATTATAGCTGTCTTCCCTATTATATGTTATAATGATTAACTATGATAAGTAGCCGGTGGGGCTAACTTAGAAAGTCAACGAATCAGCGAAGGTAGTGAGTAGTGTACTCTCTCAAACCGAAGAACTGAAGTATTTTGGCTCTAATATGGAAGTCCACAGTGCCGTGAGAAATCGGTCAAAGAAAGGTGGCTCAAATGAACAGAGATTAGAGGGTACGGTGTGAAAAAATATACCTATCAAACTAACAGGGAAGGTTTACAGCGTGAAATTCTTGATTACACTGAAGAGACAGGAGCTACAGTAGAAATGCAAATGCTGAAACGGAAGTCAGCAAGAAGGACTACATCCGAAATACTTTCATAAGCTGCACTTTACATGTAGCACCAATTATACAATGTCGTCCAAACGCTGATACTGTCAGGGAATAGAAGGAATGGAAGGCTAAAGTAAAGGTGACACGGTGTCGTAAAGAACGACATGAAATTGCGACGAATGATCAAAGATTTTACCAAAGACCAGGAAGTGTGGAAGCTGTCAAACAGAGGACCCGTGTTAAAGGAAACACATTACGTTAGGTGTATTAAGATTAACCGTTGTTTTTATTAAGTTATTTTATTACTTTGCTCACCTCGCTGTCAGAAGAGTTGCCAAATTAGGAAAATGCCTCAAGATTAGTTCATACCATTTATGGACAATTATGACCCCGGAGAATTATTCAGTCAAAGTTTAAGAAAATTTTTTTACGCATTCTACGAATCTTGCCACACTGGAACCGCTGGCTGAAACTGATTTCAACACTACTGCAGACACATCGAAAAATCGACCAACGTTAAGTCGAAAGAGGTTAAACAGATGAGTTTGTTTAAGAACATGAAACAACGAGCGACTTAACAAACAACAATGCAACGTATTAACTTTTTTAGTTTGACTCATGCCTAAATAGAGACCGTGAGACGGAATATCTTCCGGGACCAAATGGCAGGAGGCAAAAATACTTTTTGCCTAAAGATATTTGACCTTGGCCTTGACATTGTGTACCTTCATTCCAGCCCTCAGAGCCTACAATTTAATTGAGCGATGGATCACTGAAAAACCTCCATGAAGCTGCTGTTCCCACAACGTGAACAAAACAGCACCTGCTGCGAATGGATGAGTAGGTGTGTGTCTAATGGCTTAAATTTATGAAATTTACTGTTTATTGCCACTCTTGTTGCACCTTAGAATTCAGTTCGTAGATTGTGCAACTAGAAGAGAACAAGGATACTTGGAAAAGCATCCTAGAACTGTTGCCTCAGTAACTCAAAATAAACGGCTGGCTATGACAGTGAATAAGCAAATGAAATGGATTGGATGAGTTTTGCCTTGTGCTGCGAAACATAGTCTAAGTGCAACGCAGCTGTAACATAAACCCTCGCAAGACAACATGGCTATGAAGTTCAAGGCGCTGTTCTGCCCCGGCCTTTTGTCAGTGGGCCTGCGTTACAAATCTCAGTGAACGCATCGGCACTTATGTATTTAAAGAGTTGTTTCTCAGTTTCTGGTCTCAGGTCGAAGAGTTCTCGACCCCTTTTTAATGATAACTTTGGGATTGGAAGGCAAATCTCTGTATTTCGATACGAACCTTAACTTGTGTCCATTTGTTAAGCTGAAGCTATAAGTTGATGATTTGCAAGTGGCAATTTCCTGTAGGAAGAAGTTTTAAGAATGGCCATAAAAGTTTGGATGGTTAAGATATTTTGCCGAAAGTTATTTCATTGACCAAACAGCTATAAGTCTGTCGTCTCACCGCAGCAAGTGCTTAAATATTGTGACGAAGCAGCCCCCTATGAAAATCGAAAAAATGGCGAAATACGCTGTGTTATCTGGTATACTTTTTGGTGGGATTATTTGCCTGTTGTAGGAAGTTCATTTTCAATGCACACCAACTTTCTATCTTTTAACCAAAGCAGTAGCTTAATTTCGATATTTCGGCTTTTGGCACATAAGCGAACATCAGGGTAGGTCACAAGCAGTAATTATAATGTGCAGGAGGTAGAAGCAAAAAACTGAAGGAAGCAACAGCGGGAGGAGGAAAAGGAAAGGAAGGATGATAAAGCAAAAAAGGAGGAGGGAAAAGAAAAACAAGGAAGGAAAGAAGAAGATTTGCTTCATTCATAAAGTCAGTGTTTTGTTCAAAATATGAAAGTATAAAGAGCAAAGAATAGGTTTCATTATTTGCTCATCAATCGTCGGTAGTTTTAGCTTCGTCTTAAAATTCGGAAAATTCTTTTCGTCATCATTTTGGCATTCTTGAAGTTAATTTTTCAGTTGTTTTCCCACACTTCAATTTCTATATTCATGTACTAATGAGGATAGCTAGCGCAATTTTTTTCCGGTGCCTTTTGTGCCACAAAGCTGCGTTAGGTTACCTGCGTTGAGGCTTCCGTCATTATTATCCATATTTTGCCTATACAAGACCTGCAACCGTTTTGGCGAAGTTAAATAATTTTGTTGATTTAGGGATTACACTGAGTGAAGATTTTGAGGAATGTGTATTGACGTAAAATTCCTCACCTCACATGTCTTAAAAAAATGTCGATTCATTGCCTCTGTGATTCATTCTGTGAATAATCCTTCTACTTGCGGTTCTCAGCTCATCGTTCGAGGCCACAGCTAACCACGGATGTAGTGACGTCTTCACCTACTTCAATCTCATCAGTAGTTTGTTACCCTGAATCATGACTGGAAACGATTTTAACAAAACTGATTCACCCTTCAGTTTCGTTCTTTACTAGCTGTGGCAAACCCCGTCAGGCATACGGGAAGATGTTTTGATCATACAGCTCAGTCGTGTCACTGCGTACTGGACGACCACAGTCGTTGATCAGCCGTTGACACTACAGCGGTGGTTAAGTCAACGGGGGACATATGCAAAAACTATGATTTATGCATGAAACGAGCTCATGCTTTACTTTATTTACGGTCGACGTTTCGCGACCAACTGATGTATCGAGTGGAATACAGCTTGTCGGCTCTGTTGGTTTAGGGCGTCTGAAATCCGTTCATCCTTACCTCAGCTAGATGGTTGGATTGGGACTCAGACGTTTGCTTTGAATTCGATTTCTTTAGGTAATTATTTTGAATTCTTGGTAGTATATGTTTGGCTGTGCAAAGACGAGTTCGAAATTTCGCCTTTACGAACAAGGCCCTGTTTTCACTGTAGAACGCTCTCACCATAGGTGCTCAAACCCCAAGCCATTACGAGTAATTATACCTTGTAAACAAAGAAAAATTATTAATACTTTATTCATTATGACTTCTGCTTCAGTCACAGTTGCTTGATGGATGCAGTCTGTTGCATGGTTTTTGTTAGAGCGAAAAATGATGCGGAAATTGCAGCACCATGCTATCAGTCAGTGGATCAGTTGCAATAGTGGCGTGTCTTTTAGGGACACGGAGACAGCAGTGCCAGACAGTGTCTCTGACATTCTTGACCGTGTGTAAGTTTTTGAATTTCGGTCGAAGGCAACCTGAATCTACAGCCTGGTCCGTCTAGACACTTGCTCAGCCTCATTCTTGGCCTTCTTCGGAGGCTATTGAACAACGAGTAGCTGTTTATCCTTCCTTTCCCAAAGCATTCGCAAAATCCAGTGCCGAAATCATCACATTTGCGATTTCTCAACCTGGAGAAGTAGCGGCTGCCCCCCTTACCCCGCGAAGTTACTCAGACTTCTGAACACTGGATTCGACAAAGACGCTAAGTTGAGCGATTCACCTCACAAATCCCATATCAGCCTGTATCCCAATTTTTTCAGCCACGGCGCAGGACTTGTGAGCATAGATAAGCATGGGGGATGAACTTCAACTGGAACACAAGCAACCTCTTCTTCAGATTTCGATCGATCGTGAGGTATGCGAACTTTTCCTTTGCCTCTGTTTCACTGCTGCTAATTTTATCTCGGAACGCA